CAGGTGCACGCCACCATGCCTGGCTAATTTTTGTATTTTTAGTAGAGATGGGGTTTTGCCATGTTGGCCAGGCTGGTCTTGAACTCCTCTATCTGCCTCTGCCTCCCAAAGTGCTAGGATTACAGGTGTGAGCCACTGTGCCTGGCCTATATTGTGGATTTTATGTAGATGTTCCAGTGGCTTTTAGAAAGGTCTTTATGATTTCACACATCTGACCAGAGTCTCCCCACTCCCTCTGCAGAGAGCTATAGAACATTCTCTTTCATCCCACAGGTATTAGCTTCCTACATGAAGACAATCAGGTTTAAGTGAATACAAATTGTACATCTCTTTCCATGTACCAGGGAAGTATTTTTGGTGCCTCCAAAGACCGGGCATAGTCCACACCTCTGCTGGCCTTCACACAGCTACAGCCAGGCAGTACAGAGGCCCTGCCCCCTGCTGCCCACAGGCATGAAGCAGGTGGGAAGGGGGATGCTTGTGCCACCTTGCAGGTGGGCAAGCAGGCTCATGGGCAGAGTTATACATAAGGTGGATGAAGAGGAGGACAGCTCTAGGGTGTGAATAGCTAGCTGCTGAAAAACATCCAGTGCCCAGTGTGGGTACTTGAGAGTTATTCTCATAAAACATGTGAGGCAGAGTCAGTCAGGTGTGGTGGTACATGCCTGTGGTCCCAGCTACTCAGGAGGCTGAGGCAGGAGGATTCCTTGAGCCCAGGGCCTTGTGGTTGCAGTGAGCCGTGATCGTGCCACTGCACACCAGCCTGGCTGACAGAGCGAGACCATGTCTCCAAGAAAAAAAAAACAAGATTTCTATAAATACTTGCTGTATGACACCAAATGAAACCTAAAAGCAAATAAATAAATAATAAAGGTTACACAGAGCAGCAGCTTTGTTAACAAGAGCCTTATATTAATAGTTGCTGCTAGGAAAACAAGCTGGTTGGTGACCTCCCTAGAGGGTGTCCCACATGTCTGGCAAATGAACAGACAGAGCTCCTGGTCCTGAGTGTCTTGGGAGGCCCATGGGCATGCTGCATGGCTGATCTGGGCACTGCAGCCTGAGCTGTCATGGGTGTGGGGTGTTAGTGCCTGTAGACCTACACTGCCTCCTCCTTCAGGGCTTACTGGTGGTTTCCTTTCCTACTTCAAGTCAGGTTTTAAAAGAAGAATTGCACATTCCTCCGCAGTTTCCTGGAAATTTACCTTTGTGCCTGAGTCATTTCTACTCCCTCTGGACCTAAGTCATATCTGTTCACTTCTTTGTCAACCTTGTGCCCAGTTTAAGCTTTTACACTTGCTCCTTGTATGTGTGTTTTCAGGGTGTGGACTGTTTTCTTTAAAAACATCATTGCAAGCCATTGCAGAAGAGGAAAGTAATGTAGCTACAGAAAAAGACATGAAAAACAGATTTAGTGCCTGAAGTTTCTAGGAAAACTGGCAGTGCTGACAGCATTCACGGTCATGCCCTAAGTGGAATCATCATCTGTGTGTCACCGACATGCTGCTGTGGTCAGGAGACAGGCTTTCCACCCCCTACTCCACTTGCCACTGTGGCTTCTACCCACCATTTGTTTTCCTAGACCTGTTTGGGGAGCACCAGTTCCTGAGCAGGAGTTCTGGCTGGTGGGCCTGTGGACTGCCTGACCCAGAAGCATGTGGACAACTGATAGTGGGGAGGCACTTCCCAAAAGGAGGAAAGCGTGCAGTGTAGATGAAGAACCAGAAGCCTGGGTTCACTGCATCTCATCTACCTTGCCTGCCCAGGCTGGGAGCTCCAGGGGCAGACCAAGCCTGCCTGGGCTCTCCAGAACAACTGAGCATTCCTTGGGTGTCTTGCTCAGTGCTTCTGGCCTGGTCTTCATGGCTCAGAAGCCCCTGCTCATTCGTGGGTTTCTCCAGGGGGCCAGGGAGGACTGGAACAGCCTGAGATGATGGATGTGTGCACTTGTCATATCCAAGGGGTATATTTCCAAATAATTTACCAGCAAAATTGAGGGGCTGGCTGACTCTGTGCATCCCGAGCATGAACTTTATCACCAGGAAATGGAAGTATGGTCCCAGAGTGGATGGGGATCAGGGTGGTTACAGTCAGTGTGTACGGCAGCTCCTGTGCATAGAAAAGTGACATGGGCCAGGTGTGTTGGCTCACGCCTGTAATCCCAGCACTTTGGGAGGCTGAGGTGGGTGGATCACAAGGTCAGGAGTTTGAGACCAGCCTGGTCAACATGGTGAAACCCTGTCTCTACTAAAGATACAAAAAAATTAGCCAGGTGTGGTGGTACACATCTGTAATCCCAGCTACCAGGGAGGCTGAGGCAGGAGAATTGCTTGAACCCGGGAGGTGGAGGTTGCAGTGAGATGAGATCACACCACTGCACTCTAGCCTGGGCGATAGGGTGAGACTCCATCTCAAATAAAAAAAGAAGAGGCATTGAATGCCATGAGATACCTGCTGTTGTCTCTTCGCATCACGGTGGGAGGACAGCACTGCCAGCGGCTCTGTCTGTTGCTGCAGGGGTGGCCCATGTCTGCTGTGTCCACAGTGGTAGCCGCTCGCCCACATGACTGGCTGCCCACATGAGCACTTGAAAGGTGACTCATGGGACCGAGGAACTGAACAAATGTAAGCAGCCACATGGGGTGACTGGCTATCGTAAGGAGCTGAGCAGCCACAGAGGTTTCCATTTCAGGCTTGCCATTCACACTAACACCTTGTCAGTCTTTTTTTTTTTTTTTTTTTTTTTGGGACGGAGTTTCGCTCTTGTTACCCAGGCTGGAGTGCAGTGGCGCGATCTCGGCTCACCGCAACCTCCGCCTCCTGGGTTCAGGCAATTCTCCTGCCTCAGCCTCCTGAGTAGCTGGGATTACAGGCACGCGCCACCATGCCCAGCTAATTTTTTGTATTTTTAGTAGAGACGGGGTTTCACCATGTTGACCAGGATGGTCTCGATCTCTTGACCTCGTGATCCACCCGCCTCAGCCTCCCAAAGTGCTGGGATTACAGGCTTGAGCCACCGCGCCCGGCCTCAGTCTTACCCAAAAGTTCATTGACGCCAAATCTTAGGCCACATGGTTCACGCAGGGAAAGTGGCTTCCAGAAGCTGATGACCATGGTGGATAATGCACCAAACACCCGGACATGGGACATTTCTTTTTTTTTTTTGAGATGGAATCTCACTTTTGTCACCCAGGCTGAAGTGCAGTGGCTTGATTTGGCTTACTGCAACCCTTCCCTCCTGGGTTCAGGCGATTCTCCTGCCTCAGCCTCCCGAGCAGCTGGGATTATAGGTACATGCCACCATGCTCAGCTAGTTTTTGTAGCTTTAGTAGAGACAGGGTTTCACCATGTTGGCTAGGCTGATTTTGAACTCCTGACCCACCTGTCTCGGCCTCCCAAAGTGCTGGGATTACAGGCGTGAGCCACTGCATCTGGCTTGGTTTTCACTCATTTTTCCTTCTTATTCTCTGCAGTTCTCCTTTTTTTCTAGTGCATATGTGAACCCATCATAGGAGCCAGATACAAAACCTCTCAGCAAGGCCACCTAGTCATGCACAGAACATATATTTGCTGAGTACCTGCCCAAGGCCCCACGCTTAGTGAACCTGGGACAGTGCAAGAGTGTGCAAGTGCTGCCCTAAATGCTTTAGAGCTAGTGTTTTCTTTAACCCTGAGGATACCTTTGGAAGGTGTAAGCAGCAGCCAGCTCCACAGGGAGCAGCCTGCAGAAGGTGGGCTATGAACACACCTGACCACAGGCATCTTCCCTGTGTGCGAGGGCCTGTGTGTGGGTGTAGTGCAGGAGGAAGGGTGACAGTTCGTGGGGCGAGAGTGCCTTCTCTTGTTTTTGGCCTGAGCAGGGGGTGCTGGGAGGTACCAGTCACTGAGGTAGAGGTTAAGTAGAGAAAACCTGGAGTTCCTTTCTGTGCAGGTGAATCTTGAGAGGGCATTGTCTCAGTCAGATTCCTAGCAGGACAGATGGACACTCAAGTGAGGACTGTAGAAGGCTTTTTTGCATGGGACTCATTACAAAGGAGGGGCCAGGCCAGGGCCTGCTGCAGAGTGCAGGAGTAGGCAGCCCATGTCCCTCTAGCAGTAGTGTGTCAGGGAGGCCACATGGAGGAGTGGGGCCTGCACAGGGCACATGGGGCAGGGGTGGGTGGGGAGTGTCCCAGCCTCTCTCCTTCCTGCAGCCCCACCCTTGCTTGTCCCCAGAGGGAAGCTGGGTTTGTGACTGGCCAAGATAGCAAGACCCCCATCTCTACAAAAAATAATTAGCTGGGTATGGTGGCATGCATCTGTAGACCCAGCTACTTGGGAGAATAAGGCAGGAGGATTGCTTGAACCCAGGAGTTTGATGCATGAACTATGACAATACCACTGCATTCCAGCCTGGGTAACAGAGCAAGACCCTGTCTCTTAAAAAACCAACCCAAAAAGAGAAGTCAGAGAGCAGGGCAGGAAGGGCACCTTTGGGAAAATGAACCAGCTCACCTGTGTCTGCAGTTCAGGCGAACCAGGCTGAGTATAGACAAGGGAGATCTCAGCTGCAAGTGACATTTAACTGCTCGGTGCCCAGGTATCAGCACTGACAGTGGGAGAATCAAAGTCAGAGTCCTGGGCTGCCCTGCTCAGTCATTTCTTATCAGCCTCCTCCCCTCCAGACTGAAGTAAAAACCTAGTTTAGTTTTGCTTCATAAGATCTGTTTTCCAGTGTATTTCACACTTGCATTTCTCTGCCTGGCCTGCTTGAATTCCGTGGTGCTCTTCCTGAACGCTGGCACTGAGGTGTCTGTTTTCTAAACGCTGCGGAGTAGTTCAGCTGGCAGGCAGGTCAAAAGGCAGATGGTTGTTTAAAGACTGTGCCTCTGTTTGACCCAGAGAAACCATAGTGACATATTTGCTGTGCCCCCTTTTTCTTTAACGGGCCTGGAAGCAATTTCAGGCACGTTGTTTTGCGTCCATGGTGCATTTTCTCAGGCTGGGTTCCTCCACCACAGGTTCATTGCAGAAGAGGCCGCAGCTTCTGGGGCCAAGTGTGTGCTCACCCACAGCCCGACCTGGATCATCGACCCCATTGATGGCACCTGCAATTTTGTGCACAGGTGAGCTGAGCAGGGATCGCCTCCATTGGAGGGCTTAACATGTCCTCTTCTGTGAGGTTTTGTCTTTTCAAAAGCAGCATTTTTAAAGGCAGGAATATATAAACAAACCTATAGTAGGCTCATAGTCTCATTAGAAAGATAATCAGATCTTGAAATAAGGTTTTCCATTTGTGAGAGGCTCTTGGAGTATGTAAGGAAATCTGCACTTGTTTAAAAGCCAATTTATGTTGGATTGCATTTAAAAAGGACCCCTTCTAGGAGTCCCACTCCCCCCACTCCACCCCCACTGGAGAAACAGGCGAAGTTGGATACAAAGCCTGTGCTGCCCCACAGTGGCCGGAGTCCGACGTGTCAAGAGTGGCCCATGACAAGTGAGATTTAAGAGCCATCTTCCTGTATGAGAATGAACCTTGTGGTTATAAAAACCAGGAGGTTTGGGGAGTTCAGAAGGGCCTGTAGGGGGAGGTGAAGGGAATGGAACTTTGGGGATGGCAAAGTGACAGGGATGGGGAGGTGACAGGGACGCGACCACAGGTGTTCTCTGACAGGAACAGGTGGTGGTGCTGTGGTGCCTGTCCGGGGTCACACACAGGTGGCTGAGGGCCTGAGGCACAGAGCATGATGTAACTTTCACAAGAGGGCGTTTGTCCAGCTCTGGAGAACCCTGGAGAGATTCCCATTCCGTGGGTGGGTGGCCTGCGGCTCCCGCGTTCACAGTGCACGCTAGCACACTGGGCTACATGCGCTGAGTGGGAAGGGTGAGCAGAGCCCGGAAGTGGGCTCCTTTATGATCTGCCTCTGATGGCATGTTTATATGTAAAATGTGAAGTTATGCCACGCTAAGCACGGCCTTTTTCTCAGTGAGAACTGCCTTGAGAATTCAGTCGTGCCTACACAAGGTGACCCTTTTGAGGCAGTGGAGTCATGCCATCTGGTGCCAGCAACTGTGTCACCAATCTCTCATTTCAACTAAAGCATGACCCTTCCCAGGGCTCCCTTCCCTGGTGTATGTCACTGAGTGGAGCTTCATCACTATTGCACGCTCGTGGTTCCAGGGTGCTAATAATGGGGACATGGCAGGTGAAGCTCCATCACATGGTGAAGGCCACACATCTATCCGAGGGTCTTTGGTGGCTCCAGAGACACAGTTTCCAGTGCTTCCCTGTCTGCACCCCTGGGGGGAATCTTGGGACTGGGGAGGTGACTGAGAGAAGAGCAACAATTTCAGAGCAGGCCCCAGAGCTGATCCTGACCGTTCCTGAACCCCATGCTACAGCTGTGGCAATCACCGTGGTCTGAAGACATCTGAAAGCCACCAGCAGCTGCCACTCAGATGGCGCCTGTTCACCCCTGTGCCTACCAGCACTGGGCCATAGCAGTGGGGGAAAGCTCTCCTGGGCACCAGAACAAGTTCAAGACCTGGCACATGGTGCATTTGCCCTGGAAGCCAGTGGCTCATCCCAGTGTCCTGCACACCCCAGCAGTCAGAATTTCGTTTGTGTCCATTTTGCTTTGCATTTTTCCTGTCAGTTTGCAGTACCCGGCCTTTCCTGCTTGTTTTTCAGTTCCAATGATCTCCCTATAAAGGAAGGATTATTTTGAAGATACTGAGCAGGAACAGCAAAACCACAGACCCACAGGCAAACTGTTCTTGAATACTGTCCGCAGCCATGGCTGTCCCTACAGCTGGCTGCTGGGCACTCAGGCAGGTCCAGAAATGCTAGCAGTGCCACGAGGTGGGCTGTGGCTCAGAACTGGCTCCTGTGGGGAGGCTGCAGTTCCTCCTGGGACCACCTGCCTGGCACCCCACCTGGGACTGGGGTCTGGCTTTTGGGGAGGGCTCTGCCGTTCCTTTAGGTCCGGAGAACCAGAAAACAGATGATTGAGATCATTCCTAATTGGGCATCAGAGCGTTGTTGAGTTACGTCAGTCTTATGTGACTTTCATGGTGCTGTTTTCTTTCAAGGTTAGCTGCCTTATGACATGGTCAGTTTAGTCTGTTTTTCTTGGAAGCAGTTAGTGAAATTGTGGGAAGCAGTTTTTAAACAACCAACCCACCCAGAGTGTAAGAAGGTCCTTCTGAGCCTGGGAGGAGCTGCACAGCACACAGCTCCCGCACAGCACACAGCTCCCGCACAGGCTCCCGAGAGCTGCTGCTCTTCCTCCGGAGAGTAAACCTTTCTATCTTCCTTTGCAGATTCCCGACCGTGGCGGTCAGCATTGGATTTGCTGTTCGACAAGAGGTGCGGGTGTGGCCTGGCCCCCAGGGCCCCTCCCTGGACTCCCTCTGGCCATCCTTCCTTTCTGGCTTCAGCCTCTGTGCGCTGGGTTTGCAGTTTACCCTGTGCCTTAATCATGACTGGCAAATCCAAGCCTGTGGGTTTCAAATCTGAGAAAATAAATAAGGGCAGACTGGCTTTGGGGTGTGCAGGGTGGGGCTCCGTGGTTGGCCCTCATCCCCGTTGGAGGGCTGGCCTCGTGTTCCCCCGGGGTCTTTTTGTGACATTGCTGTGGAAGCGGAAGTCCCGAGTGAACTGTCCAAGTCCGTCTCCAGCTGACCCCTAGAGCGTGTGATCTGCTCACAAACTAAAAGGAGCACTTATTTTTGGAGAACGTCCTCAATCCCAATATTCTAATCATTCTTTCTTATCTTCCTCCGGTTATTAGCATGAGAACGCAGCTTTTTCAGAGTTCCCATAGGCCTTCTGAACTACACAGTGTTGTGGGACCTGCATGGAAGGCATGGGGCTGAGGTTTCAACCTTATTAAGCAATTCAAGCAGCAGCACTGAGAAGAGCCTTAATTTCTTTGTAATTAAAACAGTTTTATTTAAATAGTGCTCCATGTTTCTCAAAAGCAGCCCTCCTTCAGAGCAGCATTTGTACAGTTTCCCCTCAGTCTCAGCACAGACTCCCTGGCAGGGGAGCTGAGAGAAGTACTTAAGATGAAGTACTTATGTACTAAAGTATCTCAAAGTACTTAAGCTGAAGATAAGAACTGTAATAGTGAAATTTGCCTAAGGATGCAGTGATTGACTTCTTTCTCTGTCAAATAATATTGTGTCGCCCAGCGAGTGTAGGAGGCTGAGCAGCACTTCAGGGGTTGATTGCTCTGTGACTGTGCGAAGGGCTGCTGGAACAAGTGGCTAGGTCCTCAGCCTCTCTGTGGGTCTGCTAGGGTCTGTCCTCTGTTCCTAGACTGAACACAGGAGGTCCTGGCTTCTACTGGTGGTCTCCTCCGCATGGGAGTGGGGACTGGGACATTCCTCTGTGATCTGGGAGCCCTTCACAGGCCTCAGAAACTAGCCCAATTCTAGGACTGCCCTGGTCATGAGGATCCCTTTAAAGCCAGTGTACTGGAAGGGGAAGCATGAGGAAATGCTGCCAGACAGCTGCAGGTTCTGAATAAGTGCTGACTGAATGACCCACCCCAACCCCCAGAAATGAACCCTTTTTCTAGCTTGGGGCATCCACTTCAGTGTGGTGGTGCTCACCCCAGGGCCAGCCAAGCCTTTCCTAAGGCATTTGGCTGGGGTGTTATTTTTCATTTTCCAGAGAGGTGAACACTTGGCTAACTTGTTAAGCAAGCACGCTTGCCCTTTTTAACCGTGAGTGGTGACAAGTCGGTAGAGGAAAGGTCACAGGGGCATGCGGCTGTGGGCTCCTGTCCTTTTCTACGTTGACCTCTTCTTTTCCTTGCTTTGTCCTGGGAGGTGGTGGTCTGACACTTTGTACCCTGATGGGGGCCAGCGGGCTGCTGTTCAGTGCACTACCTGCTCACGGGCCAGTCCTGAACCTGCGGCGCCGCCTCTCCCTCTCTGGGGCTGACCTTGGGCTTCTGGAATAGCGCTGGCTTTGCAGATGCATTCTCCATTCTTCACACGTCAGTAATTTTGAGGATTTCTTATGGGGTTCGATTAGAGTCACAAGTAACCTCCTTTTTTTTCAGCAACAAAAGGGGCCTTTCTAAAAAGTTAAGCTGTTTCAATAGCTTCTGGCTACTAATGCTTGATTATGATGTTAATTTTTAAAGTTTTACCAGTCTGAATAAAGTTTAAAATGTAGTTATTTAGCAAATGCAAACTTACTTTTATGCCCAGGTCTCATATTAAATGCAGACACTGCTTTTTCTCAGTTCCTTTTGGAAAAGTCGCTTCTGTCACATTGTCATGTGTTACCCTAACACCTAGCACAGCCTTCATCTTTGAATTACGATGTTTTTTCCCACATCAAATGAGTGAACCGCCTTTGTTTTCTGTCCTGCCTCTGCCGCCCACAGCTTGAATTCGGAGTGATTTACCACTGCACAGAAGAGCGGCTGTACACGGGCCGGCGGGGCCGGGGCGCCTTCTGCAACGGCCAGCGGCTCCGGGTCTCCGGGGAGACAGGTGGGCTTCACGAGGCTCGTCTCAGTTTATTTCTGAAGAAGGGTGAAAGGAGAATGCTAAAGCGACCAAGATGTCGGACAGTGGTGGAGGTCGCCTGCTGATGGTACCATCTCTCTTTAGGGACATCGTGTCCCTGATGAGCAGCCAGTCTGTACCTTAGTGTTCTTGTTCACATGGCCAGGAGCTTTACATGGCCTCATTCTGCTTTGCACTCACATCCCTCATCTTTCAGGCTAAGAGCACTCCAGTCTCAGTCAGGATTTGGTCGTAGTGCGACTGGGTGAGCAGCCCAAGGCCAGGCGCAGTCAGAGTGCGCTGTCCCCCTCAGAGCGCCCAGGTACACCTCAGTGGTCCTGACATTGCTAGGCGCTGCCACCTAGGTGCAGTCTGTATTCCCTGAGTGTGCACAACAGTGACTGGCTTCAGCTTCTGTGAGAAGAGCCATCCTGGGAATTGAGTGGTGTAAAGAGGTACTTTAGCCCCTCCTCTACAGCTACGGCCTGCCCTGATTTCCTTAGCCCAGAATCTCAGGGTCATCCAGTGGCTCTAAGAGAGGGCTCCTGTTTCCTGCATATTGCCTAGCACCACCTGTCCTGAATGGGCCAGTTCAGGTCTTCACCGATGCTTTTGGCCTTTCTCCCACATGGATGAAGCTGATGCTATTTTACCGCATTGTGAGACAGGTACTGTAGAGAACAGAAGGACGCCAGACAAACAAGAGAGGAGGCTCAGCCTAGTAGCAGCTGCATGGGAGACTGGAAAGCTCCTTAATACCCATCTGTTTGGGTTGGAACAGGCGGAAGTGCGTTGCTGCCTGTTAACTGCCTTGTATGTTTCTGGCATGGACATCATGTGGGGCCCCACATCTCATTCCCTGCCGGCCACACTCTTCCTTCTGCTCCCCCATCAGCCTTCTTGCTGCCTTCTCTCTTGACCCACTTCCAGCCTCTATTTTAAAAATTCCTTTCCTGGCAGCCTTTCTTCATTGTTTCTATTTATTCCTACTCTTTTCCTCCCTGGCTGATGCCTGGGTTCCCAGATGGCCTCCAAGGCTGTGAGAGGAGCTGGGACCGCAGCTCATCCCTGCTGCTGTGAGCCCGTGTGCGGGCCAGGATGGATGAGGTGTCAGGAGAGGGCCCGCCACCGTGTGAGGGACACGTTGGGTGGGACTATGCGGAGGAGAGGAGGTGGCTGCGCGGTGGCTGGGAGAGCCCAGAGCAGGGGAAGTGAGAAGTTATGGGGACCTCTGAGGGGTAGCCAGCAGCTGGACTCACCAGTAGGAGCTTCTGAACCCAGAGAGGTCTCCGAATGGCCTCTGGCCCTGCCCCACCCTCCCTTTCCACAGTGTTTTGTTTGGCCTTGTAAAAAGTAGCTTTAATTACAGCCGTGCGTGCCAGGAGGTGCTCACTCCAGCCTCATTGTGTAACTAACTGGTGGTGAGGAAGCATGCTATTAAGCATGCTTGGGTGAACTTTGCTCTATATTTCGCTGGATTATAACACTGAACTCTATTCACACACACTCGGCGTCCTGGCCGGCCGCCCTTGTAGCTCAGTCAGCCTGCAACTCTGTGTCCTCCCAGCCTGCAGGCTGCTAGCTCAAGCACCAACTCCACAAGGGAAAGGGCTTTGTCTGGTGCGCCTTTATCTGGCTCACAGTAGGCCTGGTAATTTCATAGAATGAAGGAAACATGAAGTGCTCATGTTCTACATCTCATTTGTGACTTTAGAAAAGTTCTGATGAATAAAGTACAGTGTGTTTTCTACCACAGTTGTTTTCTTTCCTGTGGGTAGCTGGACTTCTGGAGGTAATAGTGCATGCTCTTCAGCAGCACCATCTCTTGTTGGTACCACGCAGACCCGATTTCAGATCCTGATTCTGCTACTTTTTTTTTTTTTTTTTTGAGATGGAGTATTGGCCCTGTCTCCCAGGCTGGAGTGCATTGGCACAATCTTGGTTCACTGCAACCTCCACCTTCTAGGTTCAAGTGATTCTTCTGCCTCAGCCTCCTGAGTAACTGGGATTACAGGCATGCACCACCATACCCAGCTAATTTTGTATTTTTAGTAGGGATGGGGTTTCACCATGTTGGCCAGGCTAGTGTCGAGCTCTTGACCTCAAGTGATTCACCTACCTCAGCCTCCCAAAGTGCTGGGATTATAGGCATGAGCCACCTTGCCTAGTGGATTCTGCCACTTTCTAAGGTGACTGGAACTCAAGCAAGGGCCTTAACCTCGACGAACCTCAGTCCTCATATTTAAAATGGGGATGATGATGATAAGAATAAACGAGAGGATTAAATAAGTTACGCATATAAAGCACCCAGCACAGTGCCTAGGGCACAGTATCCTAAAATGAGAGCCATTATCAAAGAAGAAACTTGAATCTTTGCACAAGACCAATCAAGTCATGGCCCATTGTTAAAATGAGGACTTGTTTCTGGAGGACACAGTCATTAAAACCACCACCACTAATCTCTCTCTCTCTGCTTCCTTTGGCTTCCCCTTTCTTATTCCTATTATGCCTTCCTGGAATGTCTTCAACTCAAGTTAAAAAACAACACTAGATAGAGGTAAAGGATTAGAAGAAGGCAAGAATTTTATTAGCTGCTTCTTCAAATTCTACCATGCGAAATTTCAGACATACAGAAAGTAGACAGAAAAAGCACAGTGAAGGCCCATGACCCCTCACACGGCAGCACGCTTGTTTTGTGCTTGTCCACCAGGTCCCGCCATCCCCAGCTTCCTGAAACCAATTGCAGGCATCAGGTGACTTCCTAGCCAGTACTTCGGCGTGTCTCCAAAAACACAGACTGCTCTCATACAACCACCCACAACATCAATATCATTCTACCCCAGATTCATACCTAAAATCATCAAATAATCCCATCAGTGTTCAAATTTCCAATTGTCTCATTTTTACAGAAAGTGGCCTCCTAAGGTCACAGTCTGCATTCTGGGGGACTTCTGCTCCTGGGTCAGTCTGTGTTGCCTTTTCACTGGACAGTACTAGGAAGTATTTTTTTTTTTTTTTTGAGACGGAGTCTTGCTCTGTCGCCAGGCTGGAGTGCAGCGGCATGATCTCAGCTCACTGCAACCTCCGCCTCCAGGATTTAAACAATTCCCCTGCCTCAGCCTGCTGAGTAGCTGGGACTACAGGTGTGCGCCACCATGGCCAGCTAATTTTTTCTATTTTAGTAGAGACAGGGTTTCACCATGTTGGCCAGGATGGTCTCAATCTCCTGACCTTGTGATCTGCCTGCCTTAGCCTCCCAAAGTGCTGGAATTACAGGCATGAGCCATAGCACCTGGCTTTTTTGTTTGTTTTTATTTTTTGAGACAGGGTCTCCCTCTGTTACCCAGGCTAGAGGGTAGTGGTGCAGTCTTGGCTCATTGCAACCTCCACCTCCCAGGTTAAAGCAGTTCTCCTGCCTCAGCCTCCTGAGTAGCTGGGACTACAGGCACACTTCACCATGCCTGGCTACTTTTTTTGAATTTTTTAGTAGAGACAGGGTTTCACCATGTTGGCCAGGCTGGTCACAAACTCCTGACCTCAAGAGGTCCTTTCGCCTCAGCCTCCCAAACTGCTGGGGTTACACGCATGAGCCACTGAACCTGGCCATGTTTTTAATATAGAACTCATCATGAGTACTTGGATGTTTTTAATTCAGATGTATGACTACAAGCTTTTCTGCTTAACTCTTATGTTTCCTTTCCCCCATGCCAAAAACCCTGACTCACAGTGACACCAGGGATGAACAAATTAGTAATCATCGCAGTTAACTTGTTTGCTTTATTCCCACAATACACGCAGATCCGTTTCAGAATAACAATACTAGCCCTCCATCAGCAATTGTTAGTTTTTTTTCCCCCCCACTTTGCTTTCCTTTATCATTTTGTCCTTAGTGCACCTCCCAGTGGGATGTCTCATCAGGTCACTGCAAGGTTCACTGAAGTGAGTCCTCTCTGCTTCCTCTAGTTATGCCACTAACTGAAGATAATCATTTAGATATGTTTGTTGCACTTTGTTATAATTTAAAGGGGTTACTTTTTGAAATTTTGATCTTGTTTGACAATTATGTTCAAAAAAAGTACAGTGTTTCAAAGTCAAATCTATAAAACAAAATCTATTCCAAGGTGTTTAGCCTCTGTTTGTGTCCCCTCAGCCTCTTCCTCCTCCCATAGATAACCATTTAAAAATGTAATGGTTTTCGGGCGTGGTGGCTCACGCCTGTGATCCCAGCACTTTGGGAGGCCGAGGCAGGTGGATCATGAGGTCAAGAGATCGAGACCATCCTGGCCAACATGGTGAAACCCTGTCTCTACTAAAAATACAAAAATCAGCTGGGCATGATGTACACACCTGTAGTCCCAGCAACTCAGGAGGCTGAGGCAGGAGAATTGCTTGAACCTGGGGGGCGGAGGTTGCAGTGAGCCGAGATCACGCCATTGCACTCCAGCCTGGCGATGGAACAAGACTGTCAAAAAAAAAAAAGGTTTAACTGGCCATTGTTTACTTTAGGTGTGTTTTTAAATAAGCAGTTATCTTACTTGCTTTTGTTCTTTGAGTATAATTTTAATATTTAGAAAAGTCTATAGTTTTGTTCTAATAATTTCTTTTGTATCAAAATTTTTAGAGAATATACCTAATTCCCTCCTTTATGGATCACTTATTTATCTTGTAATTCTTCATCCCTCACTTCTTTTTTTTTTTTTTTTTTTTTTTTTTTTTTTTT